AAGTTTAAATGATTTTTTCAATGCTAGTTACATTTAAAACTAAAATTTTTGATGAAGCATTTGCTGACTGGCTTTGCCAAAATCAGAGGGAGCCTAGCGCTGCTGTGATATTTTAAAGATAAAATGTAATGAATTTCGTATAAAGCACCTTGAGGAGAGGATAATGGGTTCATCTTGCTCGAGGGCGACGGCCTACTCCAGCAGCTACTAAATCGTTTAATTTTCTTATGGCATCTGAATTTCTGCAGTCCTGGAGACAACCTCCCTCGACCCTGGTGAAAGCGAGCTTAGTTTTCGTCCGTCCCATGATAGACGAAAGCTGGATCTTATTTTTACCAAGACTTTAGGCTATTACTAGCGCAAAAAGAATCGTATTTTCTTCACATGTTCTACATGCGTGGGCATGTAATGATTATAAAATGCGAAGCACAAGCTCTCAGCCTGCCAAATGCAACTTTGTTATAGGAAGTAAGTAAGAATCATACTGACCTCCTCGATACTTTCCTTAAGCCTCCTTTTTGGAGCACTTCCAGCACTTTTTTTGGCTATTCTATATTCACTTAAACTAAAGTTGTCAAAAATATCTTTACTGGACTTGCTGACTATTATCTGACAATTTTTCCTCCGTCCCAATCATCTTCATCGGCGCCAGGTGATGCGGGGCTCTGGGGCTTGTGTAACTTTCAGCTTCTAATAACCGATATTAACAACAACGCGCCTATATTCGATCCCAGCGTATATCGAGTGATACTTCAGCTAGGCCTGGCGTACGGACCCCCAGCTGTTCAGTTGACTCAGGTGATCGCGATCGACGGAGATGATCCAGATCAGGCAACCGGACAAGTGCTGTACCGGTTCAAGGGGACAGCGAATCCCATCTTCAATGTGAATGGCAACACTGGCGCCATTTTAATCAGTGGAACGCCGACCGCGGTATGTCTAGCATAGCATCCAACTTATTTTGTCTCGTAACTTTTGATGCTTTGTTTCTGCAGCGTAATTGTGCTTTGAGTAGAGGATTATTTGATCGAATTTTACAGCCGAGAAAGGTTTATTCTGAAAGAATAACCC